AATGTTGTTTTCATATAGAAAAGATTCTTGTAGTGACAATAGGGAGGTTATGTGACTGCCAGTGGAAAAGAGACCTTTCTAACACTCTGATGAGTTGCTATGGTATAACAAGTTATATCAGCTGACCTGTTGTAGTTGTTTAGCCCATACTTCTAACCTGCAATAAATACAAGAAAATAAAATTTTAATTTTAGCATTCATTGAGAGATTTCATGCCACCACAGACTTATGAGCCTTACCTTATAAGTAAGGTATGTAAACTGATTGTTCGCATTGCTGCCATCAGCCTGGCTGGTCCCACAGGATGCTGATGCAGATCCAAGCTAAGTTTGTGCAGCTTCTCTTATAGGGCTTTCTTCATTCCCCAAAGGGTACTCTGCAGCTAAATAAAAACTGAGGTCAGGAGAGTTGTCCTCATATTGAAACCAGAGGCTATTATGTTTAAAACCCCAGGCTAAAGATACTCACTTACTATTTTATGACATGCACCCCAGGAGAAGGTTTCTCTTCCTGTACCAGCACAAAGATGGACAAAATGTATTTTCTGCTTTGAAAAGCTGTTAAGCTTTTGTCCTCTTGACTAAACTTGCCCTAAGAGTGACAGATTAAAAAGCAAATAAGAACATAGCAAACTATCCCCTTAGTGTTTCACAGCACGGGGTCTAGAAGAGAAAACTTGGGGTCAGCATTGAAGACTGTCCTTAGCTGGGTTCAGCCTGTCACTTGGGCAGTTTTACAGCTGTCTTTCATTGGCTTCTCCTTCTCTCCCAGCTCTACATGTTGCTTCACAACCGTGGCACCGATTCCTGCTCTTCACACTACTCAATGGGGGCCAGAAGTCCTTTCTGCAGCCAGAAATTCTCAGGCTGATGACTTTGGTGAGCAGTAGAAGGGCAAACTCTTCTCCATTTTTCCCAGTATGTTGGTACAATGCATGTGGGTCAGTTATTGGAACTTAACCTGCTACACACACCCAGTCTCAGATACTGCCGTGGCTTTGTCTGGCACTATATTCGTGACCTATATTAATAATGATACTTTCAAGTGAACTTCCCTTCCACACCCTGCAGAAACTGACTGCTGTTAGTGAGTACGTCCTGTTCTTTTGGTGTTTGTAGCATTTATTTATAACATCTAGGACCCCTGGGGGGAGAGAGGAAACCTGCAGAGAACATACAACTGCTGTTACCAGTCAGGGAGCAAGCTGACTGCTTGGCATCACAGCTTGTCTCCCCACCTTCAACCTTACAGACATGACTTTTCAAGGCAGGGAGTTAGCACAATATACTACCTTGCTGTATGTGGGGCCTGTGGGCTAGAGGGGGAATGTGGTCCTACCCAGCAGAAATACTGAAGATAAAGCCCTCTTGGCAGTGGGTGAGAGGAAGGGACTATTAGTGTGAACCTTCCCCCTCCAAATACAAGATAGGTCTGTGAGTATTTGCTGGTTTATTTCAGTTTTAAAAGGTTACCTGATTTATTTTAGTTCCTTCCCAATCTAAACCAAAATAAGTCTGGCTATAAATCAGAGCACCGTCAACACAGATACTTGCACTGGTTCTATTAGAGGTGGTATAAAAATCAGGCCTGTGGTTAGGGTGCTGCAGCATCCCATTACACAGAAGAGGTCTTTGCAGGCGATGAGTCACTGTTGCAGTCTGTGGGTCTTTCACTATTTAATGCCTCTGTTTTTTCCTTTGTTCAAGTTTGTGAGATATCAGAGCAGCAATATTATTTCTCAAAAAGAAATTAGCCAGATTCTTCAGGAGGCAGCAGAAGCCAACTTAGCAGAGCTGCCTGAGGCCACATCTTATGCTCTTCACCTCTTCCTTTGTCAGGTAAGAAAGCAGTGACTGCCTAGGAAAATTGGAAGGGAATCCCTAGGCGTTTGCTTTAGCCTTTGATGGAGAGCCATAAACTTCCTTTTGAGGAGGCTGTAGTAAGATGAAGAGGAATCCTACAGCTGCTACCTTGGCCTTCTGCCCTCAGGGGTGTACAGTGGAATCAGAAAGGGAGTGATGCCAGTCACTGCCTAAACTATGTCATCAGGTTGGGCGGCTCCTTGATTACCCCCCAGATCAAAGTTTGAAGATTTCATTGCTCTGTGTGGAGATGAGGGAGGGAGTATGAAGGAACAAACCCAAGAGTTTCCTGGAACAGTTGGTCTAGAAATCATTCTTTCTTCTGACTGCTCAGATTCAGAGCAGTCATTACCAGGTGGAGCCAGTGCAGTCAGGGACCATTCAGACCTTGCTGGATCGTCTCCTGGGACAGAGGACCACGTGTGTAAAACATCAGGACATTGTGTATCCTTTGCTGGGCAAGTGGCTTTGATAGGTGATGTGAGTGGTAGGTGTAACAAAGCTTGGAAGGAATACTTAGTCTGCTGTTCCTTGTTGCAGGCAAACAAAATTGAAAAACCCTGAGTGGTTGCTACACTTGACTAACTTTGGGATGAAAGACTTCATCATCTCCTAATCTGAGATGATGTTTGGGAAATGCGGAGACATTTGGGATAAAAGATGGGTCTCTGTGCAGGGCTTGCATTAATCTATAAAGCAGAAGTAGTCTGAGGAAAGGGGAGCAGGTTGGGGAGTCTGACTTCAAAGCAGTAACGATCTTTGTATTGATTTCCCATGAGCAATGAGTTAACTTCTGTCTGCATTATGCTGGTATGCCCATGAAGTAGTGAAAACCCAAAGATGACTCAGGCACTTTCAAAGTGCAGGGAGCATTTGGGAACCAGTGAGTGGAGTTACCAGATTTTATTCTGCTTGGCCCTAGAGTTGCCCACTGAGAACTGAGTCCTCCTCTTCTCTGGGGATGGAGTCAGGGGCCACTCTCAGATTCCCTGTGCAGAAAGCAGGGGCCTGGTGCAATATTTGGTTATTTCTCAAACTTTTTTTTGCCTTCCTGTTTTCATCACATTGCATTGCCTTGCCTCAGACACGTAGCAGTGATGGAAGTGGCAGTATTTCCTGTTGGTAGGGGGTCTTCCTCCACTGTGGAACACTGTCATCAGTCATGTGCAGGATGTGCAGTGGGTGAGGTATTTGTTCTGTGAGGAGTAGCTTGTCTTTGTGCTTACCCTCAATCTGATACTACTGCTCTGTTGTGGGACATGTTGTCCTGGTGGAAATCATCCTGGTAGTCATGAACAGGGAAGACAAAATCCTCTGGTCAAAATCAAACTTTGACATCAGTTTTGTTGAGAAAGAATTTTTCTTCAGGGTTACCTACACTGATGTTTTTCACGTATGTTGGGAGTGGGGTTCCATGGCTTGGGGAGGGTTGGTTTAGTAATGAAAACCTCCTGTCAGTGGAATGTCAAATGTGGGAATTCTCATAGCATAGCATGCTGGAGTTCAGCCATGCCTTTCCTTTGGTTTCCCCTCATGATACTAATGACAGATGTCTGGGAAACGTAGCAGTGTCCCTCTCACACATTGGCGACTGAAATGAGAAGATGCAGTGTGCAGAGCAGAGAAAAAGGCAAGAATGGAGCAGAAGACCCCATCCTGCCATTTATTCCCAGTGAACAGTAGAGAGAGAGAAGATGGACAAAGGAAGTAATTTGTTGCTCATTTTGAGAAAAAGGTTTGCTGAAACTCATAAAGTTCTGTTGCTGAAACGGCTCAGTTTCCTTCTCTGTGCAGGGTGAGGCTTGGTTGATGCCCTTCAGCTATCAAACTACACACATGCCTGGGGAAACGATGGTGTGCAGGGATGCCATGAAAGAGGTGCTCTGCTCACCCGCCTTGGCTCATGGCTCTGCGGGATGGCCCTTTAGCTCTGGACTGGCAGGGGCGGTGAGGGCTCAGCGAAGACCCCGGGGGAAGCAGGATATGCCGCGTGTGCCATGAGGCTGAGTAGACTTCTTCCAGCTCACGAGTAACCCCTTCGACTACAGCTCCAGCCCCCACTGTCCTGTTGCCTCCACACCCTCTTAAGTGTCCCGTTCCCGTCGGGGCTCTAATTAACGGGGTTCCTTCCCTCGCGGAGCCGGGAGAAACCCACCCACAGCGAGAGCGGCTCCGAGGGAGAACTCTCCCAGCGCCGGGTCCCTGAGCCGGGGCAGCCCCGCCGGTGTGGGGCCGGGGCCGGGGCGGGGCGGGGGCTCAGGAAGTGACACGGCGGGGCGGAGCGGGGAAGCGGCGGCGGCAGCGGCACCGGCATGGCAGTGCGGCAGGCGTGAGCGCCGGCCTCGGCTCCCGGCTCCCGGCCCCGGCCCGCAGGTGAGGGACAGCCTGCGGGGGCGGCGGGGAGCCTTCCCCGCCCCGACAGTCACAGCGGGGCCGGAGGGAGCTGCCCAGCCGTGGCAGGGCAGGAGGGAAGGGCGAGAGCAGCCCAGGCACCGCACCGGGGACACGGCGGGGCGGGGGTGGCCGGGAGCGGTCCCCGGGAGGGCCCTTCTGGGCAGCCGGGGTGGCCGGGGAGCGGCGCGGGCAGTGCGGCCCCGGGGCACTTCGCTCGACCCTGGGTTAAAGGGCTGTGCCCGACGGGCTCTGCGTGCCATCGCCGCCCCGGTCCCGCGCTGGAGCGGCGGGAGAAGCGGGACCTCCGCAGCCCCGGGGAGCTGCCGTCCCGCCCCGAGGGTTCGTATCCCCCGTGTGCCGCCCGGCGAGTCCACTGGACACGGCTCCGGCTGGGTTACCCGCAGCGCGGCCGGGGTACTCTCGGCTAATCCCGTTTCAGCTCCACTGTCCCTGTGTGATTGCCGTTAGTTTCAGCGGTGCTTACGGGAGAATCCCCATCTCCCTGTGCCCGCGACCACCCGAGACCCTCGGGGTGCTGCTGACCCCCTCCGTCAGGACGGGAGGCACGGGGTTGGGCTGGGATGGACCCGTTCCTGATGGAAATCACAGCACCTCGCTGGCTTCTGCCGGGGATGAGAAACTCTGTGGTGCGTGAGCTCTGGGCTCGGTGGCTGGGGGACTTTGGAGACAAGCAGGTGTAAATGGCCGTTGTTTCTACTGAAGCAGCTGGTCCTATCAGACCCATGAGGAACTGTCCGAGCAGAAGTCTCAGCAGCAGTGTTTCACTTCCGAAGCTTTTCGTTCAGCTGTGACAAGAGATTAATCCTCATATTGTTGGAGAAGCGGCTCGGGAATGGATTTGTGGGGCTGGGAGTTTTCATTCCTTGTTTTGCCACAGTGTGCTCCTGGCACAGGCAGGCTGATGATGCTTCTCCCCCTGCAATTCAGTACCCTGTGGAGGGGAGGTGGGGTACTGCAGAAGTCCCTCTTGAGAACCAAAGCGTGGCAGCATGGCTCTGCCTTGCAAGCTCATTAAGTGAATAAATCTCAGGGATGCTTGGTTCAGATGGGGCTCTTGCAGGAAAATTTATAAAGTCATTAAAAACATTTTAATGGAAAGTACTAACCATCTATAACACGGCATCTGTTGTCATGTCGTTTGAAAAACACATCTAAATTAAGAGGATGGGAGACAGTGAGACAGACTGGTGGGCTTTCTGCTGAAACAGCCAGCTGGCCAGGGCTGTGAGGGAATATTGGTGGAAACTCCTTCCCATCTGTAGCATCAGGCCAGGCCTTGGCTCCCTGGACTGCTCTGGGAGCATGAGGCAGAGCTGTCTTTGGCAGGAATCAGTTCAGGGAGGAGTAGAGAGGGAAGAGAGGAGCAGCTCTGTGGTGTTTCCGTCTCATCTCATCCCTCAGCAGGTGTGAAGACAGAGAGTTTGTGGGGAAAGCGTGGAGGAACATCTGCAAGGAGCTTTGGCATCTCTGCACTTACACAGTCTGGCCTGGAGAGGAGAGAATGTCCTCTGCTGTTAAAATGTGGTGAAATGGGCAGGGCAGTGAAGGGAAATAAATTTGAGGTGGTTCAACATGGCATCAGCAGCCTCACATTCCCTGTGGGAGAGGGAAACAACCTGGATCCTGCTTCATTTTTGCTGGGGTGTTTCAGCCCTGATGGACAATGGCAGTAAGTAACTTCAATGTGAGAATGAGTGCCAGCGGGGAAGAGGTCAGACCAAAAGGTGATGGGCTTCTGGTATGGTGTGGTTCTCCAGTCCTCTGCTTCCAGCCTTGTCCCATGGCATAGTTGTTAGGGCTGGTGCAGGAGGATTTGTAAAGTCATTGAAAACACTGACCATCTATAGTGCAGCATCTGCTGTCATATCTCTGGAAAAGCCCATCACCGTTCTGAGACTCGGAAGCAGCCAAGCAGGCTGGTGGACCTTCTGCTGCAGCAACCAGCTGGTTGGCAACTGCTTTGGCTGAGAGCTGCACTTTGCTCTGCTGCTGCCTTGAACAGGGTTTCTTGCAGCTGAACTTCTTCCCCCTTGGAGTGGCCATGGAACATCCTCTGGCCACCCAGCTCCCATGTTGGAAGCAGAGGATGTGGGAGCCCCTGCCCTGACCAGGCATGCTTGGACTGCCACAGGCAGCACGGCAGAGCTGCTGTGGGCAGCATTTCTACTGTTTGCCTTCCAGCCTGGTCTGGAGGCCACTGGCTGCCTCCAACATCTCTCTCCAATTCTCCATGACCATGACAAATAGCCAGGCTGGTCCTTACGGTCGCATGTCCGATCCAAGGGGCAAACAGTAACCCAAGGGGCAAACAGTAACCCATGTCCCAGGGCAGTCACACTTTGTGCTTTTGAGTTGCTGCCCTTCCTCCTCCCTGAGAGCCTGGGAGGGAGTAAGCAGCTGTGGGGGGCTCTACAGAGGGGAGACCCACACCACCTTGCTGAGCCAGGCCTTGGGTCATGTTTTTTGTCAGGGTGGAGCAGTCTTCTGGGAGCCAACCAGGCCAGTGGGTTCAGCAGAACATCTGTTTGCCTGGGCCGAAGAATTTTTACTTACAGCCTTGGCTTGTCAGTGTGCTTTGTGGAGTTCAGGATGGCTGAAATATGGCTTAATCCTAGCACCACAGTGGGCAGAGGGGACAGACTCAGATGTGGTGTAGGGAGCTTGTGCTGCCATTCTGACTCTGCATTGTGTCCGAAACATGGGATGTGTTGCTGAGCCCGCACCACTGCCAGCTGTGTCTTCCTTGGTAAAGCTGGTTGTATTTACTCTGTTCTGTTCCCTTCTAGGCGTGCCTTTTGCAAAGCAAAACAGCAAAATAGGTTTCTCATGTTTGCCTTACGCTGTTCCCCTTCCCCCACCAGGGTTGTGAAGGTGCTTGGCTCGGCCTTAGCAGGAGGTGCATGGCAGGAGCTGCTGCTGATCTTTGCAAGGCTGGGAGAGCTCCTGGTGCTGCCTGCTTTGCCTCTCTCATGGACCTGGGGTTGAACAAAATGTATTAGTTTTGGAAAAGAAAAACAATAAGAAAAAAACAATAAGGGATTTGTTTCTGTTTCACTGTTAGGGCATTGCAGAGGGAGTTTGGCCAGGCAGGCGAGCGTGGGCTCAGGAGGTCAGTGGGTCAGAGGGTGAGGGCAGCTCTGGTGCCTTTACACATCTGCCTTTACCTCAGGAGCAGGGGGCGGTGTAGGCAACGCCTCTGAAGGAGCTGCTGCCTCTGTAATTGCCAGTGGCTGCTGCTCGACTCCATGGAAACCTTGTCCCTGCAGACAGGCCACCACTCGAGTTCTGCTGCCTGGAGTCTGAGCCTCGTTCTCAAGGACCATCTCCCCCAGCCTCTCCTCTGCATGTTGGCTATGGATGAGGAACCCTTGTAGTCAGGAGCAGCTCTGCCCAACAGCATTTCTGCAGAGCCTCAGATACCACCACCTGGGGAGGGACTCGTTTGAGGCAAGAGGGAAGTTACCACCAGGTCACCTGACTGTTGCTTTTCGGCGTGAGACCTGCAGCTGGCACCAGGCTGGTAGTGAGGGAAAGGGTCGAGGTACCAGCACCCCAAGGGGTGAAGGGAGATGGCTGAGCATGTCGCACCTGGAACTTGAAGGAGATGGACCTCAGCCCCTTGGCAATCCTTCTCACCCTTCAGCCCTGCTGTTTCAGTTGCTGGGCTGCTCTAACTCACAAACCCAGCAAAAAGCTAGCTGTTATTTTTTGGGAGAACAGGCAGGACTTAATTTTTCTTCTGTGTCAGTGCTCAGTCAGATCCCTGGGGGCTCAGCCGACAATGGAGGCAGGTAGAGGGGAGGAGGAAAAAGACCTCACAGAGGAGAGCAGGCTGGCTGCAGCATCACCTCGTGGCTCTGCTCTGGCAACTGTCTCCCTCAAACCCTCGTGGGGACAAGGGAGAGGCAGGCAAGGACCCTGATGCCAAGTGCAATTTGCTGTTGGTCCCAAGTGGTTTGTGTGACTTTTCCTTTTGGTAAGTCTCCTCACTGGTTCTTGGTTTTGTTGGTCTGTTTTTTTCCAGGTTGCAGCGGCCAACATGGATTTTTTCTTCGTCTGCCCTTTTCTGCTGGTGCTGCTGCTGTCCCGAGGCAGCTTCGCAGACCTGGAAAAACAGAGGGTAGACTCTGGCTTGGAAATCTGTATCCTCTGCAGCCTGCCCCTCGTGACTCACATACGTGCTCATGCCTGCTGAGGCTGGAGGGAGCTCGTGTGCAGGGAAAGGGTCAGAGACCACAGAAAAGGCACAAGGAAGTGGAAAAGAGAATCCAGAAGCACTGGGAAATTGCTGCTTTGCTGTTCTGTAGAAGGGTTTTAGCCAAGCTCCTGGGTTTGCTAGCCAAGTGCCTGGCTTGGTGCAGGAACAGAAATGGTGGTGGTGCCTGGTGTTCTCCTGCTTTTCCTTTCTGCTCCATCATGCTGGGCACTGAGCACGTTCCCCAGTCTGCTCTTGGAAGTGTCATGGCCAGTTGGGTGGCAGAGTGTGCCTGGGGTCTCAGTGCTTTGGGGTCACCAACTGGGATGGTGGAAGAGGACTTTTGGGCTTGTGGCACTTGGACTCCTCTGTGCCACAGGCATTTACTGCCCATGAGAAGGTGGGCTAATACAAGCCCTTCTTAGCATGCAGCAGCATCCCCTGGTGAATACGCAAAGTATGGAAAGATATTTAGCATGTGGAGACACATATGGGGAAAGTGGGAGTTCATGTTCCTCCTCCAGCCCATCAGCCAGAGCGGGGACTGGCAAGTAGAAAGCTCCCCACTTGCTCTCAGCATTGTTAAGGGCCCTGCTGGGGTGTCTGGGCAAGAGGGCTCACTGGAAATCTGTGTTTCATCCTGGCTCAGATGCTGCCCCCAGCCCTCAGGCACACCGTGGAGAACTGGGGAGGCTGGGATGGTGCAGAGGGGTGTGGGAGCATGGTGGCAGAGTGCCAGCAGTGCCCTTGACAGTGTTGCAGATAAGAAGCTGTTTGAGGTTAAGCGCAAGGACCAGATGAATGCGCTGAAGAATCTGATTGAGCTCAATGACGTCAACCAGCAGTACAAAATCATTGACATCATGCTCAAGGGACTCTTCAAAGTGAGCCACAGCACAGGCCGCGCTTGGTGGGGCTGGGAAGGGTGGGCCAAAGTGGGAAGGGCTGGGGGTCCTCCATGGGGTCAGAGAGAAGAATTGTGTGGCAGGTGAGCTTTAGGACCTGAAGGGAGGATGCTATGGGGCTTCAAAGTGGGGCAGCTGGCGCAGCACCTCCAGGATACAGGAAAGAGCTGGCAGGACAGGGTAGTAACTGAGGGTTCTGACAGGTGCTGGAGGATTCTCGTGCTGTGCTCATTGCTGCTGATGTGCCTCCCGATGGGCCTTTCCCTCAGGATGAGAAGATAAAAGATGGTAGGTCCTCTCTGGCCTTTACCCCCCTCCTTTTTGGAGTGCTCTGGTGCGTCACAGACATTCCTCCTGGGACTGGCACCAGGGTAGGTACAAAACCCCTGTGTACCCAGCCCGTACCTGGGCTCAACCCTATCTGTCAGAGACCTTGTTGCTGCCTCTGACCAGTTCGTACTGGGGAACCTACCCATTTTCACTCAGCCTCCCCACCTCCTGGTGGGGACGTAAGTGCCAGTGGGATGGGGCATGTGTGACGATGGGGTTGGTGGCTATCCCCACAGCATACTCCCACGTGGTGGAGAATACTGCCTTCTTCGGGGACGTCGTCCTGCGCTTCCCCAAGATTGTGCACCACTATTTCGACCGCAACTCCAACTGGAACAGCCTCATCCGCTGGGGCATCGGCTTCTGCAACCTGACGGGTGTGTTCGAGCAGGGACCCCAGTCCCAGGTCCTGCGGCTGGTATGGCTCCTGGTCCCCCCTGCCGTGTCCCCACTCTGCTGCTTAGGCTGGGGGGTGAGGTTTTGGGGGTAAAAGGAGGGCAGGAGGAGTGTACTCCAAGTCTGAGGGCTGTCGTTGGGCTGAGTGATGGGGGAAGAGCATAGAACATAGATGGGGCTGGTGGGCAGGAGGGGACCCTGGTCAGAGTAAGAGGAGAGTGTGAGTGGGAGGCACCAGTGCCCGACGCGATCTCTGCTTTGCTCTGCAGATGGCTCAGGAGCTGGGAATCAGTGAGAAATCGCCCGATTACCGCAATCCCTTTAAAACGGACCACTCAGAGGTAAGACAGCAATGCTGCCAGCTCACCTCGTGGGCTTCCCCATCCCCATTGCAGCGCCAGGCAGCTGGATGGGGAATGGAACAGGTGTCTTGTGGGGAATAGACAAAACCCCCTGTCACTGAGGAAACATGCCGAAATACATTGAATTCACTGGCTGGGCTGTGGTTGACTTTAGGCACCTGGTACCATCTCCTCTCTCCTGTGGCCACTTGCCCTATGATCAAGATCCTATTTGCCTCATGCCACATTTGTCCTCAAGCCCCCTGGCACCATGAGGCTTCTGCATTGGCTTTGGTGGGGGGTTGTGCCTCTGGGAGGCTTTGGGGGCTCTCCCATCCTGACCCCTTGCTGTCAATCCACAGTTTTTCCCCAGTGCCGACACCTTTCAGAAGGCGCTGAGGGACGAGGAGAAGAGGAGGAAGAAGGAGGAGAAGCGGAAGGAGATCCGCAAGGGCCGCGCATCTCCCGCTCACAGTCGGAGCTGTAGCGTGCAGGGGCTCGCACCTTGCAGTGGGGGTGACTCCACTGGGACACAGAGTGGCTCGCTCCCTCTCGGCAGCCTTGGGCCAGTTCCTGGCAGTCCCCTTTCCGTTTGTGCCGTGGGTTTTGTTTCGTTGCCTTTCCCTTTTGTTCTGTGGAGATTGGATGGTGGTGCTGGTGGGTTGCCCCAGTGGGGCTGGAGTGGGGTGACCCTTCCCCACAGCTAAAGCACAGACTAAAGGGAAAGCAGTGGGGCCATCCCCTGGGCTGGTCGGGGTGCTGCTGCCTATGGGGAAGTAGGGTGTGGAGGACATGCTGTGCCTGAGCCCCATGAGAAGCCCAGGGATCCCTCCCCTCTGCAGCACACTCCACGCTGAATGTGCCTCCTCCAACATGGGTGGGCTGGGGACTGCATCACACCAAACAGCCTCATGAGCAATGCTGCTTCTCTCAGTTTTGGTTTTCGTTTTGTTAAACTGGTGATCTCATTGGCACCCTCCAACCGGCTGTACCTGGTCTGGTACACAGCTGCTACCTCTGCCAGATCAGCTCTCCCCTCTTCCCGGTGGCTCTCTTACCAAGCAACATGCATTTCACTGTTCAGATGTAGTTTAAAAGGCTGACAGCATTTGTTCCTGGCCTGACGGCATCCTGTTCTCCTGTGCAGCCACCACTGGGCATTCCCACAGGGAGGCAAACACACGGTGAATTTTTGGGAGGAATTTCAGTACTTGGCCTCTTTGCAGCTGTAGTGCAAGCTGTGCTGATGCTGAAGGTCCTGGGGAACCAGCCCCCAGCCGCTGTGACCCTATGCTACACCCCATGCCCTGCCCCTGCCATCCTCTTCTGTGGGGCTTGTCCGTCCTCTCTAAGTCAGACTCCAAAGCCTCTTTGGCAGGGGGACAGCCAGATAAGGGCACGTGGGGATAGCAGGGCCGAAGCAGGGAAAGAGCCAGCTGGGGAGCAGAGGTGAGGGGCTGGCCCCAGAACCTGGCACAACCACCCTGCTGCTTCCCACCGTCGCTGATGACCTCGCAGCAGAGGAAGGTCTTGCAGAGGGACCATCCCCGAGAAGCGAGTGCTCTGTGCCGGGCTGGAAGCATCGCAGCCTTTGGGGAAGGGGAAACGTCCTGCATTTTTAACAGCAAAGCCAAGTCTCTCCAGTGGGGGGGGTGGCAATGGGTGTGACTTTATGTGTTTTTTTTAATAAAATTGACTTTATTTTATTTTATTTTTATTTTTAAGTAAAAGAAGCCTGGCTCCCGTTCCTGGGGGGAGCGGGTGCGCTCTAGAGGGCGTCGAGGCAGGGAGGTGAGGGTCCGTGGGAGCTGCGGAGGGAAGAACAAACCCCATCCTTTCCCCACCGCCGCCTTCCACCTGGCCTTTGCGCCGCTGAGGCTGGCGGGGAGCCCGGGGTACGAGCCTTGCCCCAGCGGCGTTCCACGTGAGCAGAAGACGAGCAGGCGATGTCATCGCTCCCACGCGTGTCGGCCGTGCCCGGCGCGGCTCCGCCCCCTCATGAATATTCGGATGAGGGGCGTGGCGGGCCATGCTAATCGCAGCTGCTGATCGCTGACGCGCCATCACCCCACGCGCCGCCGCGCCCGCCCATTGGCCGCCGCCGACCTGGTCTCATTGACAACAAACCGCGGGGGGCGCGCGCGCCGGGGCCGCGGGGGCGGGGCCGCCGGGGCGGCCCAAGATGGCGCGAGGTCGGCGGCGCCCGCCGGCAGCGACAGCGGCGTCCGCCTGAGCGCCCGGGGCGGCGGCGGCGGGTCCTGCGCCATGGAGGGCGGCGAGCTGGCCGCCGAGAGCATGGAGACCCTGACCGAGCTGGGCGACGAGCTCACCCTGGGCGACATCGACGGTGGGCGCCGCGGGAAGGGGCGGGGGTGGTGGGGGCGGCGCCCGTGGGCTCCCCACGCGGGGTGGGGGGAGCGCTCGTGTCTCCCCGCGGGCCCCGGGGCTGCCGGTGCCGCCCGGGGGGCAGGGCGCGTGGGTGGGGTGTCTCCCCCCGAGCGGGGAGTGGGAGCGCAGGGTGGCCGCCCTGGCTTGACCCCTCTGCGTGGGGTGCGCTTCCCACGCCGGACGGGCTTCCCGTGCGAGCGGGGATCCCCCGTCCCACCTGGGGACAGGCGCGGGTGCGGGGCGCGTCCCGCCGGGCAGCGCTCGCCTGGCGGCCACGCGTGTGTCCCCGCGTGGCGCGGGCAGCCCACGGCCGGCCCTGCCTGGGGAGCGCTTCTGGGAGACTTCCGTGGGGCTGAGCCGCGCCTGAGGCAGGCGAGACAGATGTGGTAGCCTCAAGGAGCCGGTGTGGACGTGGGGGTCCTCCCACCCATGGCCGGCCGGGGAAAGGATCGGAGAAAGTTCTTGTCGTGTCCCTCTGCTCCTGCCGCAGACCCACGGGGCAAAGGGCGTTTGCCGTTTCACTCGTGTTTCCTCGCGGCTCTCTCAAAGTAGGTGCTAAACGATGGCCAGAGCTGTGCCGCGACCAGTGTCTGTGGGAGGCCGAGCCTCCAAGCCCTCCGGCACCAAAAGAGCCCTAACTGCTTAAATTTCCGTTATTTCACTGTCGTCCTTAAACTTCACCACGTCGCTGGCACAGCTCAGCCCCGTGAGAAAATCACTGTTTTCCACCAAAGTGCAGCAAAACGAAGCGCCTGCGTGTGACGCTATTATATATGTATATTTGGTGACACCAAGCAGCTCCTGAAAACCTGTTTAAAGTGTCATTTTTCGGTGCGGTCTCTGCTGTAGGCTGGAGACAGGGTCCTGGCTCAGTTCACTGCTTTGCTGGGCGATAATCGCAATCGGAGCTCAGCTTTGGGGGCGGGAGTGTCCAAAACATCCTTGTTTAGCCGCGGGGAGATAAAATGATACCAGTGCTTTTAGATTTCTAATTGACATCGATTTGCAGTGTAGCTTGGGGCAAAATTTATACCCCTATTTCCTCTGTCATATATTAAGGAAGAATATACGTTATGAAAGTGCAAGGACCTTAGTTATTGGTCATAAAGTTTGGTGGTGCTCATTGAAGGTGGTGTTTGCTCTTGTTTAAGCACCACGTAATGAGTTCTCAGGCTGCATAGAGAAACAGAGGCGAATTGGTGACCCCAAAGATGGCTCTGAACTGAGGTGTGCCCGGGGAGGTGTGATTCAGAGCGATGAGTAACTTAGGAAAATGAGCTTCGCTTTCCTCCCCAGCTCCAGGGGTGGATTTTCCTGGGGGAAGGTGGGGGGGAAGGTATATGACAGTCTTGCTTTTTTTGTACTCCAACGTGGATTTGTCTCAGGGTTTGAAAACTTTGCAAGGATTTTCATTTGGCTTTTAAGTCATCTTGTTGATGTACCTCTCCCATTCAGGCTGAGAGACCCCTCACTTCCAGTTGTGTGGATTTTGATTTTCTGTGGTAGATGCGCCAACTTCTCTGGGATCTATCCCTGCACACTGGGGCCATAGCAAGGGTGGTCAGGGGGTCCCAGTGCTGAGCCTGAAGGCTCTGCCTCCTACCCCAGCACAAACTCCTCCACCAACCATGGGCACCTTCCTCTTGGCAGGACACTGCTGGGTAACACGGGAGCACGAGGTTTGAGTTGGTTTGGATGTGAAGCATGTCAGGGTTCAGGGCAGAGGGGTTATTTCTGTTGAGGTTGGAGTCCCTACTGCTTTCCATTTCTCAAAGCACAAGCATCTCCAGGAGTGTGAGGAAGAGCAGCCTGTGTGCTGGAGAGCTGAGCCACTGCCTGGAAGAGGCAGCTGAAGCCCAGCCGTTGCCTTTCTGCCAGGTATTCAGTCCCTGGGCTAATGAAAGCAAGAGAAACCCTTGGTGGGCTTGGTTTCGTAATATCTTGTTGACATTTTTTAGCCTTGGGCTGGACCAGGATAGTTTCTGCAGTAACATATCACTCTGCTTTGGGGGCCGACACCTCTCTAGCACAGAGGGTGCCAGTGCTCTGATGACACTGGATTTATCACTGATGCTTGGTCCTTCAGAAGCACCTGAGGTTTCTCACAGTGAGTGTAGACACTAAAGGTGTTTTAAAAGGCAGAGGTTTAGATTTTGGATGTTGGCTGTTTCTCCTGCTTTATATTTTTTTGTGTGTTGTTACTAGAAAAGTTCTTGGGCCCTTTAAAAGAGGTGGGTTTGATTCCCCTCATAGTCTAGTTCTTTAAAATTAATCTTTAGACTTTTTGTATTTAGCCCAACTTAGGTCTGTAATAAAGGTGTAGTTTAAGTTGTGAGAGAAGGAATAATTGTTTTAATAAAATATTAAATCTACTGTATTGAGCACAACATTCTTTAAAACTCAGTGGTTGAAATTTGGTTCTTATGCTGGAATTTACTAAAATCTCATCCGATTTATGTTTATCCCCCAGTTGCAGTAGTGCTGTCTGATAGTGAAATAGCAGTACCATCAAATGAAGAGTTTGAGAAGTAGTTTTTTTATCATGTTGAGGTTTATTTGGGATAGTCTTAGCTGCAGTCGGTTGGAACAGTTTAATATCTGTCTAGATGTTGTGCACAAGTGTTAATCTTGAAACAACCCTCCTTGCTCTGGCAATGTTTTATTAAAGCCAACTGAGGGAATGCGTGGAAAAAAAAATATTCATGTAGTGAAAAGTAGAGACAAGGGTTTGGCCCAACTGGTCCCTGAGCGTGGCTGCTGCCTCATGCCACGGGAACTGTGCATCCCCACTTAAATGTCAGGTCATGAATAGGTCAGGAGGACACATCGCCTCCCACGCTCCTCCATCCGACAGGCTTGAGTTCTTAAGAGAAGTGGTCATGGTCAGTGCTTCAATGTGTGTCAGGGCGTGGAGGGATTGCCACTGGAAGGAAAGAGTAATAGTATCATAGAAATATGTCGAAACCTGTGTTAAGGGAGCAAGAAGCTTGGAGGAGGATCCATCCCTTTGCTCTGTTTCAGCCAAAGGAGTGTCAGACAAATTAATTGGATAATGTGTGGGTGGCATTTTGGAGAGGCAAATTAATAGCCATTTATTGCTGGGACAGCCTCCATAGGAACTTCTTGTGAAAACTTTACTGCTTCAAACCCACTTCATAAACCCCAGCAGCAATGTCCTTTGGGTTTGTGGATGAGAAAGGTCCTGGTGTAAGGAACCCTTTACCACATTTTTTCCTATAAATCAGAAATCTATTTTCTGCTTCCTAAACCCTTATTTATTATTTTCTTATAAACTCTCCTTTAGGTTCCTGGGTTCCCTCCCTTTTTTCCTATTTCCAGAAAAAAATAAATAGGACTTTCAGAAAACTGTGGAAAAGCCAGTGCAGCATGGACAGATGCTGGGGTGGGGTGGGATGTCTGACTCCTCATGCCACTACCTGCACACAGATCAGGGAAAGCATTCAGGTATCTTAAGGTGCATAATTGGATTAAAGTGGATTAGATGTGTGGAAGAGGAAGCTCTGCTTATGAACAATGAGCTCTTGGTTGTGAAATTTTCTCCTCTGTGGGGAAGAACCATAGCATTGCAGTAGGAGCCTCTTGATGTGGGCTGATAAAATCCTGGAGAAGGTGGGATGGAGAGAACCTGCTGTGCAGTGATTGCAGGAAGAAAACCAGCAGGAAAAAGTCATTCTGGTATTTTAAACATATACATGGATTTCTGCTACAGTTTTATAAAGTGTTGTTTCCTTTAGTGTTTTTTCCCCAGGTTCTTGTATCCTTGCAACTAAAAGAAAGTTAAGGTGAATTCTTATCCTGTTTCTTCACTTTGTAGATTCTTAGCGGGGCAGGAGGGATGAAAGCTCCTTAAAAGTTGTATGGGAGAGTGGTTAGTGATGGAATTGTTCAGGTGGTTAGTTTCTTCCTTCTGCAAGGTTTAGACTGAAGGAGTGATGGAACAAGAGCAGTATTTTAGCTATATATTGGAGATGACTCTAAGTTCTAGTCTGTGCTTGCATCTTGTTGTCTGGGAAAGTGGTGTAGGAGAGTCCTACTTCTCCCCCTGAACAGCAGCAGCAGTGGTGTGCTACTGGCCACCTCTTGGTCTCTGGAGGTGTTAGGTTAGTGTGATGTATTCTCTGGAAGTTTTGAAGGACCCAGAGCTCCCTTCTATGCACACATCCCCCATCATTCCAGTCCTGATACACTGGCAGATGTCAAAGTATGTGGGCAGTAAAATAGCGTTGAATGGATTTTCTTCTGTTTTACAGAGATGCTGCAGTTTGTCAGTAACCAAGCAGGAGACTTTCCAGATCTGTTTTCGGATCCCTTGTGCAGCACCTTCCAGGGTGGCAGCAGCAGCAGTGGCAGCAGCAGTGGGACCTTGGAGCCGCAGTTGCAGCGGTCATACAGCCAGGTGCAGCTCCAAACCTTTCCGCAGCCGCCCGCGTCCCCCCAGCTCCAGAGCCTGCCAGTCAAAGCGGCGCAGACGACACCTCCAGCGCCTTCACGCTCAGCCCCTCTCCTTCAGCCCCGGCCCTCGCTCCAGCCTCAGCTCCAGCAGCAGGCTGTCATGATCACGCCAACGTTCAGCTCTGCTCCCCAGACCAGGATTATCCAGCAGCCGGTCATCTACCAGAACGCGGCCACAAGTTTCCAAGGTAGCGCTTGCAGTGCTCAGGCTACAGATGGGCCTGGTGCATTCAGGATTTTGGGATGCTCAGGCTATGAGTGTGCCTGGTGCACTTGGAATAAATGGCATTAGTGTTCAAACTCCAGACACATCCTAAGCCATGACAAGCCTGACGATCCTTTTCTTGTGATACTGCCTGTGAGGTATCCCTTTTCCTGCCTCTGTGGCTTTGGAGTTGGGGAGCATGAAAAATTGTCGTAAATGAGATCTTAAGTGGTTTTTGTGTGGCCTCTTGCCATAGTTGTCATCTTGCTGTTCTCCTCTGTTATGGCCTTCTCCCCTGTCGCTCTTGGGAGGCTTGAGAAAAGTATGTCTTAAAACGTTGTTGGCAGCCCTGTCCTCCCACTGATGGGTGCACTGGGCAGATCCAGTCTGTCCCACATGGCAATCTGGAATGAAGGCACATTTTATGTACCAAACTCTTGAGTGCAGTGCCTGCACTGAGCAGAGTCACCTGTAGGGATATTTACCGATGACTGGTTCTTCATTTGTGAATGCCACTTGAGTTGATCCTCTTTAGTAAGTGTTGATTCTTTACATGAAAAATAGGATCCTTTGGTCCCCAAGATCAGGGAGTGAGAAAGTGCAGGTTGGGTGTACAGCATAATGCTACTGTGCTATCAGACCAGAGGGCTTTTTTCTCTCAACTGATCCTCTGTACCTCCTGGAAAACTGCTATTCTAGGTGCAGTGCCCTCTTGCAGGAGGCACCAAAGGAGCTTCCCAACATGTGGAATGCGTTTGATGAATGCTGACTACTAAGAAGCTCTGGGAGGAAGAGGAGTGATTCTAGAAGCATTTGCAGGCACCAAAAGGGAGTCCTATCTCTGGACTGTTTTTTCTGTTTTTCAGTTCTCCAACCTCAAGTCCAGAGCCTTGTGACATCCTCCCAGGTTCAGCCAGTTGCCATCCAGCAACAAGTGCAGACCGTGCAGGCCCAGCGAGTGCTGACCCAGGCTGCCAACGGCACCATCCAGACATTAGCGCCAGCCACAGTCCAGACGGTTGCTGCTCCACAGGTCCAGCAAGTTCCGGTAAGTAAAAGTGTGGAATGATACAGGGATCCAGCAGAAGAAGAAAGTGCTTTTGCACGTCTGGTTTCCTGGCTTGCCAGGGAGAGAAGGCGAAACTAGTAGTGCTGGCAATCCTGTCTAGGATTGCTTTTGCACAATCGTTTTTAAATATGAGAGGTACTTGGCCAGCCTGTGTCCCAGAAGCATTTTGCTTCATGCAGGTCATGCATGAGAGTCCCTGTTGCAAGCTGTGATGTGACTTCAAGTAGTGGGCAGTGGTCAGAAACTGTTTTCACTAAAACACTGGCTTAACTAAATGTGATCTAAAGTAATTTTTGGAACTTGGTACTGTCAAACTGGATTGGAAACCTTACTTTAACAAGCTTTCTTTGAGTTTTGCCTACCTTTTTGCAAGTCTGTCACCTCTACCACATGTATAAGGACTGCTCAATACTGGAATGTGTTCTTCCAATTCTTCTGTCACTTTTTTAATCTTTTTACTGCTACAGTGTTATGTGATTTTGTATTAAAACATACACAAGATTTTTTGACTTAGTGCGTCTTTAAATTAAAAGTGTTTGTCTAGGGGACTTGGTATGACAGAGTTGTTCTGGTTCAGTTGTACTGTGCCGTCTGTCATGTCCTCTGAGAATTAGCAAGGTATTTGGAAGAAATAAGAGCAAGCTATGTTATGGCAAAATAACTTACAGTTGATTTTGATCCACTTGATGTTTATGGTACAGATCCTTTTGGTGAAATTGTAGGGGGGAAGCTACTATAGGTATTTCCCAAAGCAGACTGCCCTAGCTGTGTTATACTCTGAGTACTCAGCCAGTTAATACAGGGAACTAATTATAGGTGTAATTGGAGAGCACAAGGCAGCTTTTCCATCAGCTCTTTTGTGTTTTTACATGCTTGTTTACTTCTGGTGACTGACTTGCAAACTGGTATCCTGGTGGTTCCTCTGCTCCCCTCCCTCTAGTGCTGTCCAGACTGTCTCATGGTCAGAGTTTGCAGTAGGGCTGACCGAAAGCATTCAGGTGATGCAGAGTGCAAGGAAAGAAATACCCTTGGTCTTTTGCCATTCACTGAGTTGTAAAGTAACTACAGCTCTGCCAGCGCTTTACCTCTGGCTACTGAGATCAGCAGGGAAGTGCGTGCTCTCCCCTTCACCTGTAACTCTTTTCAACCTAGGTTCTGGTCCAGCCTCAGATCATAAAAACGGATTCCCTTGTCCTGACAACCCTGAAAGCAGATGGTAATCCTGTTATGGCTGCAGTACAGAACCCAGCGCTGACAGCACTCACTGCTCCCATTCAGACCACAGCTCTGCAGGTACTGTATGGATGTTCTTCCCTCCCTCTCCTCACTGATGCCCTTTCCTGTTAAGTAAGAGGTTTGAGCTTTAGCATTCTGTAGTAGCGCAGACAGAAGGGGTTTTGAGGGCTGTTCTAGACACGTCCAGAGCAAGCAATACCCTGTTTCTGCCAAGGCTAAACACACAGATTATTCTGCTTGGCAGCCTCCCATGGCCAGTAAGCAAAGACCAAGGGCACATTTCTGTTTACCTTTCTCTGGTATTACAAGGAGAGGAATATGACCTAAAAACTCTGTCTGTTTTTCTGACTTGAAACTGAAAGCTAACTTGCTCAGAGTACCTGTGGAACTTTCTTTTGCCTCTCAGTAGTGTCTAATAGTAGTATATTGAATGTGAACAACTAATTAAGCTACTTTTCAGAGGGCGCTTGCGTTGAGGATTCATTATAATCATTGGAGATGGCAACTGTGCTTCATGGCCTCTGTGCCTCATGGCCTCCACTTTGAGAAACTTGTGCCCCCAAAGAAACATTTATTACAATCTTGTACATTTTGAACAGATATCTCTGTACAAATATTTACTGGGAGAGATGAACTTAGATTTGGATTTTGACTTCTTTTGCAACAGCATGGTAGGCTTCTTACATGCTTGTTAGAAGCCAGGCTGAAACCTTCAATTAACGTGCTTGCTTTTAGATGATGTTTTCACACAAAGGTGAGGCTTACGTGGTTCTGTCTACCTGAGGCATGTTTGAACACATTGAAATTTGGTGGAAATTAGCCAAGGAAAGGTTTAAGACTTAAATTCACTTGTTTGTTAAGTTCTTACTTGAAACGAAATTATTTTTCTGATATCCCAATTAGAAGACTATTTCAGAGTTGAAACTGTTCCTGAAATTTCTCGTGGCTAGTTACTATTACATTTGTCTTTTGACAGAAAAAACTCTTCTTCTCCATAGCCACTTCCTTAATCCTTGATGCACTTCGGAGAATACATGTATCTTTCTCAATCTTGCTTTGCTGGATTAAGTGGTCTAAACTTTCTTTTACTCCAGCTGTCCTAGAAGCCCCTCTGTGCAACTGTTCTGATGGGATTCATCATACTTCATATCTGAGTACATATTGCTTTAGTTTGGTGTAGATGGACGGTTAATCGGTGTCCAAGTCTGAGCTTTCCATGACGCTCTATATCACTCATTGTCTTAGTTCCTCATCTTAAGGCATTTTTATAGCTTATGAATTTTTTTTTCTTCATTTAATCAAATTCAAATCAACTGCATTGCTCAAGCCAAGTTTGTTTTTTCGTAATAGAGTCCTTTCTAACATTGTCATTACTAGTTTGGAACTAGTGTAGCCTGTTGCTGTTTTATTGACTTAATTTGTCCACAGAAAAGGTGGATTTGTACAATTGGAGTGTAAGGATTGTAGGAACAAAGAGGAGTATCGGTCCATTTCTCTATTTAAGTGGATGAACAGAGCACAGTATTGGCAGAAATGTTGATATTCTTGGAGAACAAAAGATGTTCTTATTCCACAGCGACTGGTGTGGGAGCCAGAGTGACAGATTTTTCCTGTGTTGCTGTGCCAGTACTCGTGCCAGCTAAGAAAGACAGAAGGAAATTGGCATCTCACATCTTTTCTGAGCTGTACAAACTTTTTCTGATTCTTCTTTTGTTTACTCCTTTTTTTATTTGCCGTCATAAACCTTATCTAAATTGGCTGATTGCTCTTGACACTTGTTACACGTGGTCTTTGTAGACCCTCGTTGGGAGCAATGGGACCATTTTGACCACAATGCCGGTGATGGTGGGACAAGAAAAGGTGCCTATCAAACAAGTTCCTGGGGGTGTCAAGCAACCTGAACCACCTAAAGAAGGAGAGAGGAGAACAACTCACAACATCATTGAAAAGCGTTACCGGTCATCCATAAATGACAAAATCATTGAGCTGAAGGACCTTGTCATGGGCACAGATGCCAAGGTAAAGATGGGGGATAAGAGCAAATTTGGTATAGTAAATACTTTGTCTTCAAAGGTGCTCGTTGCTCTACCAAATGAAGCATTTGGGTACATGCAGCTGTAAGTAGTGTGCACACGTGTATTGGGATAACACCAAGTGAGAAACACTTGTGTGATGGAAGGCTTGATAATTGTATTCAGGAAGGGTCACCTGTAAAATACTAATTTTACTATGCTAGTGGTACTGTTTCTTGAATATAAGCTATACCTTATGCATTTGTTCTTATGTTAGGTCTAACTTAAAATAGGTAGAATATCCAAATGGATGTTTTGATAACTCTGCCAAACCAGATCTTGCTTAATGTAAGTTTCCTTTTCCATGTGACTGCAGTAGGGACGAGGGTTTACAGAGCTTTCCAATTTATTTCCTTTAGATATTAAGCAGTAAAAACTCCTACTTGCTCAATTATTGGAAGCTTTCTTACACCATGTGTTCAGGGTTGTCCTCTTTGCTTTACCTCATGCTGGCGGAGCAGGCAGTGGTATTCTTGATAGTTCTGTGATCTCTGTACAAATAAGTGCACTAGTGAAGTCATCTCCTATTGCTGAGTGGAATTGGGAGCTTACTGTTTTTAAAAACATGGGTAATGTGCAGTGGCTTCATAGTATTTTCCACTTGTGTTTACGAGATAAACTTGTCCACTGCTGCTGGAAGCAAGTGTTTTCATGGGGATGGCCAAGGCAGTGAGGCAAGGAGGGAACTATTCTCAGAATTAGGCAGTGAACAATGGTCAACAGGCAGCAGCTTGTTCTATCCCAGAAGACAGCCACTTGTTTACAAACTAGGATACTTTCAAAGGACTATTTCTGGCTGAAACATAGATGTGAACTCTTAGAATTTGGATGTTAATCTGTTTCCACTGTCCTATTTTATAAGATCTTTGAGAGACCTCAGTCCTTGTGTATGTTTGATACCTTGCCCACAGAGCGTGTCCTGCTGTTAGGTCCTTGTGGCTGCTGAGAGGTCCTTTACTCCCTTTTCTATCACCACACAATACAAAGGGTTCTGGTATCCCTACAAGCAGGAGTGACCCTTTGATTCTCTTTATATAAACTGCTCTTTGTATGTCTTAATTCCTTGCAGATGCACAAGTCTGGAGTCCTGAGAAAAGCCATTGACTACATTAAATACCTACAGCAGGCCAACCATAAGCTGCGACAGGAGAACATGGTTCTGAAGTTGGCCAACCAAAAAAACAGTAAGTTGTGGAGGCTGTACAGCAGGGGGGAGGCAGTCAACATGAATGTGGAATGTATCTTGCAGTCTCTTATTCTTGACAGAGCTTGCATTGATAGTGGCCAGTGTTACTCCAGGTGACAGAGCCAATCTGAGAGATACTGACAGAATTCAGGATTGAAAAACACATACATAACGCACTCTTAATTTTTGCAGAGCTCTTGAAGGGCATTGACCTAAGCAGTCTAGTTGAGAACGATGCAGATCTGAAGATAGATGACTTCAACCAGAATTTGCTGCTGATGTCTCCTCCAGCGTCTGATTCGGGATCCCAGGCTGGTTTCTCTCCCTATTCCATTGATTCAGAGCCAGGAAGCCCTCTCCTTGATTATGCAAAGGTATTTATGACTTTAGTTTTCAAATTTAAGGTCTCTACTTCAGGGATACATGAGGGCCAGAATTTAAAATCTCCTTATTCTCAAGAGTGGAACCAGCAGACATCTGGCAAGCAGATCTGTAGGGCTTAGAGATCCTTTGTAAGGATGAGGAAGGTGCATGTGTGTGTTTTATCTTTTCTTAAATGATTGCAACTGTCTCCTGAGCTGTTTTCCCTGAGCCTTACCTTAGCTACAAGAAGAACTGTACTTATCTTTCAGCCCCTGTACAGTCTTTGTGGACTTACAGTGCTTGTTCATGATCCAAGTTGCCCATGACTTTCCAGGATATGAATGTCCAGTGAGTAAAGCAGGAGAACTTGGAAAAGGATGATGACATCAGCTGTGGTTAATGAGACCATAAGTAACAGAAAGCTGTTAGCTGTTTTCAGCTTACAAGTTTGTTTTGTGGATATCACAGAAGAAGTGGATTTTCTGGGAGATCCTCAAAGAAATAAGGGCAGCAAAGGTTAATCTTAGCCTAAATCAAAGATCCAGTCAATAACTGAAATGAGTGGTAGTAGGAGGAAGTTGAAGGCATTCAGATATTTCAGCCTTATCTTACTAAGCCGTGAAAAGCTTTACTGGAGTTCTTGCTGATCTTGAGCTCAAAAGCAAATTTTAAAACATGTTCTGTTTCTCCTGCTTCCCTACTCCTCCCTTGGCATACATACTTCTTGTGGTACAGAATGGTAAGCGGTTTGTTTTCTTCTCTTTTTTTTCTCCATTCCTATGCATTTAAAGGTTAAAGATGAGCCCGACTCTCCTCCTGTGGCGCTTGGTATGGTGGATCGCTCTCGAATACTCCTCTGTGCTCTGACATTCCTTTGCCTTTCCTTCAATCCACTGACATCCCTCCTGGACATCCGGGGAACCCCAGAGTCTGACAACTTGGTGCGCCACAGCTCTGGCAGAAACGTGCTGACCATTGAGTCAGGTAATGACCTAGAATAGTTTGAGCCACGGAAAGTGTCCAGCGTTATGTGGTCTCCCTAAAGGTCACCACCAGCTGTGACCGCTGCAGGTCACGAACTGGACGGTTGCTGAGGTTCAGTAGGATGGTTTTGTGTGTTCAGGGAGTTGCACGACCTTTGTTTAATGGGTGGGGAGAGTAGTAACTGCTGGGCTGGGTGTGGGAAGAGAGCCAACTTGGATCTGGTTCCAGTTCACATCCACATCCAGCATTCTTCTTACATAAAACCAGCCACCAGTGTGGTGAGGTTGAGGTAGCACCTGTTCATAGCCTAGCAACCTGGGCTTTCAGGATAGACCCTTTAAAGTAGTTGAGGGTAAGGAGCATCCTCCTGTCCTCACCAGTCTTTGAGACATGTTCACTTTGTATTTGTTTTTAAGGTAACTGATTTTGTAACTTAATAATGAAGTTATTACGCTGTTGCTATGGGCTCTTGCAACTGGCTTGTTTGATACACTTATTCCATAAAATTCATAGGGGAGGGCAGGGGATGCTGTAGGTCATTTTCCTGACTGGTAAATAGGCTTCCTCAGTGTTGCTTTGTAATTTTTATTAAGATCAAAAAATGACACTGAAGTATTGAGAACCTGTGGGTGTATCTTACAGAAAAATCAGAAGACAAGATAATCTGGGAAAACTAAGTGCTGATTCAGTTTTTTATACATAAGTCTTTTAAATATAACCATTTAATTGGAAATGTTGTGGCTTGGAGTTTGGATGAAGAGCTGTTGATATAGGTGCTTCCTGACTGAAATGCAGTCTTTGCAAAAGTTGATTAAACACGTGGCAAGAGTAGCAAAGACATCCTCCTGGGTCTGTGCTCATTATGTTACCAAGCTTTTGGTGTCCAGATTAGCTTCGAACTTTCCTTTTGGATGTCTGTTGTAGATGCAGCTGGTTGGTTTGGTTGGATGATGCCCACGCTAATCCTGTGGCTTGTCAATGGAGTGATTGTACTGAGCGTGTTCATAAAGCTACTTGTGCATGGAGAGCCAGTGACCCGGCTACACTCAAGGTCGTCGGTCACCTTCTGGAGGCACCGCAAGCAAGCGGACCTGGATCTGGCACGGGTAAAGTTGACTCACTGTTTTGCCTCAAATACATCTTTTAGATGGGATTTTGGGTAAATGTTGCCTAGTGAGGCAGTGGCTTGGTGCTTGCAAGAGCATGGTCTTCCTTGAGTGGACCATCCTGTCTGATTCCAGAGAAGCTGTTGCTAGGTTGTCCTGAGCAGATTCCTGTCCTCACTCAACCTAAGTTAGAGAGGCACAGATGTCAGCATTGGAAGAGGCTCCGAACTTCTGTCCTTGTTCCTAGCTACTGCATCTTGTATCAGTTTTTGGCAGCAGTATCTTGGGTTTTGTCCAGAATCTGACCTCTGCTGTGCCGTTCTGTCTGCTGTCCTCCAGCCTCTTGGAAGTCCTCTCCATTGTTGGGGCAACATTTGGCTTTTGATATGGGGACCCCAAAACTTCCATGTTGTTTGAGAAGGCAGGAACCCTCTTTCACATAGTACCAATGTGTCCCACAGGCAGTGCAGGATCAGAACCATGTGTGGAAGGATATGTTCAGGGCCAGATATCAAGCTGATGTAAATTGCCCTTATGTTTTCTGGCTCTATGATGACGTCCTTCTACTAAAGATCTTGTCCTGGCTTACATGTCAGTTTGTCTTGCTCCCAGTGCTGAGGAGGTCCCAAAGCATCTTCTGTAACGGTGATTTTTGTTGTTGAACTTTTTGCTGTGTTATTTTCAGGGCGATTTTGCTGCAGCTGCGTCAAACCTGCAGACTTGCCTGTCAGTACTTGGTCGAGCACTGCCAGCTTCCCGCCTGGACTTGGCCTGCAGCCTGTCCTGGAACGTGATCCGCTACAGCCTGCAGAAGCTGGCGCTGGTGCGGTGGCTGCTGAAGAGGACTTCTCATCAGTGGCGAGCAAGGGAGGCCACTGCGGGCTTCGAGGACGAGGCCAAGACCAGCGCTCGGGATGCGGCTCTAGCGTATCACAAGCTCCATCAGCTCCACATAACAGGTAGGAGGAGCAGGGCGGCAGATATGCTGTCTGATTTTGCTGAATGATGAGACTGAGCTGATCCTGGGGGATACAGGGAGAGCACTACAGCCTCTCTCCTGGGATGGCTGCTGTTGGAAATTAGCCTGACAAATTTCAGGAGCCACTTACTAAAACAGGGCAGATTCATGCAATCAAAAAACTCCATCAGAACAACTGGAGCAACAGCGGTACCTCAAATTACGTGTTCCTGAGTCTGCAGAGGTGGCTGAGAGTCGTTCCCAAGCAGCAGTTGACTGAGTCCAGTCACTTTCTGCTGCTGTTAAAGGCTTGTTTTATCACTGTCACTTGGGAATGTGAGGTGGAAGCAGGGTTTGGGGTTAATTGCTGGAAGAATTGAAATTTCTGAAGCTGTGTACAGTTTAGGTTGCCATTTGGTGTTGATGTGTTTTGAAATCCTGGGTGTGTGCACATGCACTGAGGAAGTGTTTGAATGTTCCTTGCAAATGGTTGTTTTTGCCATTTCCTCGGCTAAGCAGTTTGTTATGTCAGTAGGCTCCTAGCAGATCAGAAATCCAAGCTAAACTTCCTTTTGTGTAATCATTCTTTTTGAATTGTCACCATGACACCAGGGCATGGTGTACTTGTCCTTAAGTATTATCTGTGTAGGTACAGGTGTGGACTGCAAAGGAGTTCAGTTTTAAGATAGTGATGAATACAGTGAGGTAAAATTTGCTGATGATTTTATCCTAACTAGCTTAGCTATACAGAGCTTTTCTGTGGAAGTGAGGCCGTGGATGCCAGTCTTTAATATCTATGGAGGGAAACCTTCGTTACGGTTGTTCTGTTGTCCGAGTAGAAAGTTGGCATATGATGTTGCAAGCTTCTCATATCAACAAGTTCTTGTTGTTTGTTTAGGATAGTAGCCCTACAAATTGTAGTAGTATTTAGTAGCTGGTACTACTGATTAAAAGTTAACGCTTTTTCTTCCTCTTCCTCGTGCAGGTAAACTTCCGTCCAGCTCAGCTTACTCGGGATTGCACATGGCCTTGTGTGCTGTGAATCTGGCTGAGTGTGCAGAAGAAAAGATCCCACCCAGCACAATGGCAGAAATCCACCTGACTGCTGCGGTTGGCTTGAAAACCCGCTGTGGAGGCAAGCTTGGCTTCCTAGCGGTGAGTTGTCTTCTCCTCTCCCATCAAACCTCCAAGAAGAGCTCTAGGAAAGCCAGGAAACTGGCATTGCTGTAGCTCAGGGCATCTGCTATCAGTACAATTATAATATGACTTGCAGTTATGATATGAGCTGTAATTATGATATGATCTTTGTCCTTGGTGGTGAGACTCTTCCCTGGATGCTGTTCTCAGTCAGCCTCTCCTTTCCACAGAGCTACTTTCTAAGCCAGGCTCAAAGCCTGTGCAGCTCAGAGCGCAGTGCTATTCCTGACTCGTTGCGTTGGCTGTGCCACCCCCTGGGACAGAAATTTTTTGTGGAGCGAAGCTGGACGGTGAAGTCGGCTGCGAAGGAGAGCCTGTACTGCACCCAAAGGAACCCTGGTGAGAACTGCTTGTCCTGAGTGTGTGGCCTCCCAGCGCTTTGAGCCTGGCAATCTCTCCACTCTTTTATCTGGGACAAAAGTGGGTGTTGTGTTTGAGAGAGTGCCTTTATATGTCCGCCTTGCTTGTGGTTTTGATGGGCCAGAGAGGGTGTGGAGCTGAGAGATGTCTCCTCAGCCTGCAGGAGCTGACTTTCTTCCCTTCGTATACTGCACTGTGTTGTCCTCTTTATATGCTGGAACACAACCTGAATGTGGCCCCAGATGTCTGGGGGGTGATTTTAGGGTTACCAAGGTTTATCCTCCACAGAGCAGTGTCCTCACTGTTTTGCTGAGTGGCTGTAATGTTAGAGCAATGTTTGGCCGAAGGCTGCAACTTTATAAGTGGATTAAAGGGATAAAAAGGCCCAGAAAACTTAATCTTTAGAAATCACTACATTAATTACTCAGGAATTTCCCTTTGCTGCTCTTCCTCTTGCTCCTACATTTGATTCTTCTTTTTGGTTGTATTGAGAGGTGTCTATGGCTGTATGCAAGTGAAATGGTTTGGTTTGATCCTTCTTTAGCGGATCCTATTGCACAAGTCCATCAGGCGTTCTGTGAGAACCTGCTAGAGCGAGCGGTGGATTCCCTCGTGAAACCTCAGACTAGCAGAGAAACGGCGGGGCAAGAGGAGGAGGAGTCGTGGTGAGTATAAGTGGCACATTGGAGACTGCTGGCTGCAGCAGCAGACTCTGGGGCAGAGCTCATGACCACTGACTGAGCGCTCTGGGTGGTTAGTCCTTGTTAAAGGCTTGGTGTGGCAACTTGAAGTCTGGCCACTGCACTTTGTTACAAGAGTCAGCTCTGCCTCTTTGTTATCAAAACCTCTGAAGGCAGGGGGAACCCGGGTGTGCTGGGGATTTTCGATGTTAGCTGACATAGTGCTGGTTGATTCTTCAACTGGATGGATGGCTTTTCTCTGCTGTGACAAAGTTTAATGTTCAGGAGCACTAAAATCAGTGTACACCTACGTCTTCTGTAGACCAGGATGTATGTCCAGGGCTTTTAGAGCGTGAAAGTCTGGCATGTCAGAGAGTGAACCCCACCAGCTTGCTACCTTATCTAAGAGTGTTCTCCTGACTGAAGTGCCGTATTTACCAGCAGTGAAGAATCAAACGGATGCATGGCAAGAGGAGGAAACATGATGATGCCTGAAATTGTCATTGCCTCTAAGCTCTGTGACCAAATGAAAGGGGAGAATAGGTGGGAAATAGAGCAGGTTTTTTGTACTGAACCAACTTTCTCTTGGACTCCATGGGAGGCAGAACCTACCCTTTGCTATAATTCAGTACTATTTCTAGCTGGTCTCCAGATATGCTGGTACCAGGCAAATGCTACATAAATACATAGGAGGCTGTGTAAGGATCCTGTCCCCAGAAAGTGTAGGTAAAAGCCTCAGATGGGAAGATAGCCCAGTTTCCCCACCTGTGTAGGAAAAATGTTGTACATTTAGCTTTGGGGTTTTTTTCAATCTCATGGCAGTTTCCTAGTAGAGAATGAGCAGCAGTTCAATGTTATTGCTTGCACAGTACAAATGATTGTGATCCAATGCTGCTGTTGATGAGAGAAGGTAGCAGCATTTGTATAAGGGGTGTGGATTGTCACTGTGCTTATCTAGGTCCTGTCTCCTCATGGGAAGGACTAGCTTTAATTAAATACAGCAAGCTTTTTTGTCCCCCTCTAGGGGTGGGAGCTCAAGTTCTTCATCTCTAGCCTGTCCCAGGAAATTAGTTTGTTGCTGCATATACTACTTTCTCTGACCATGGCTATGAACATGTTATTATTTCCAGTTGTACCTATTTTGCATATATGCAAATATGCAGTCACAGAAGTGTAGTTTGGCCTCTTTTGGAGGCAGTGGTTGAAAAGGAACCTGTAATCAACTTGTAACATAGGTCTGTGGTTGAGGTGAGACTCTTGGGGTTGAATCTAGTTCTGCACTGGTCTTGCAGGAGGAGGTGAGGCTGCCCTTTGTGGAACATCGTGCTGTGCGCTTCCACTTACGGGGTGGTCTCTTCAGTCCAGCAGTGCTGTGTTACCTGTAGAGCTTGAACTTTCTGTGGGCTTAATGGGGCGGCGCTGTTTAAATATGCCTTGTGACCAGTGAGTAATGCCTTGGCATCTCTTGTTTGACAGCATAGCTGAGGTCTGCCTTGCTTTTTGTTTCAGTGAGTTCTCGGGTGCCATGGAGTACCTGAAATTGCTCAACTCTTTCTTGGACTCCATGGGAAGTGGAGCCCCGCCCTTTGCCAGCAATTCTGTACTCAAGTCTGCTCTGGGTAAGTCTGGCAGAACTGAAGTTCTCCCCACTGCAGGACCTACTGCTGATATCGGTTCCCTCTCCGTACCATCCCTCAAACCCCAGGCAGGGAGAAATGCAGTCCGTGGAGTGAGGCTTGATCACGTACCAGTGTGGTACACTCAGACTGGAAGAGTGTGATTAAGAAGGCTTGTAAATTTGGCTGTGTGTTGTAATGCTGAGTGCCCAGGTGGGACTGCTGTTATTTGTACTGTTGGGCAATATTTTATTTCCACGCTGAACCTTGTGCCCTCACCTGAGGGCTTGCTCCTGGCAAAGCAAAGCGAGAGGAAGGGTGGAGCAAATAAACAAACAGAGCAACGTTGCAGTCGAGGTACAAGAAGGGTTTTTTTCCACTTAATTACCTATTGAACCATGTTGCCCTTACTTTTACAATGGCTGTCAGGTGTATTCCTCAGTCTCCAGAGACCTGCAGCCTCTGCTGTAGGCAAGCTCCGGGCATATACTGGGAGGTGCTTGGTTTGGTCCCTTGGCCCCATTATATTTAATGGGACAAGAAGGGCTGTAGAATTTCTCTGAGACATGTGCTCATCTGGGCTGAGCCTGTAGCAGGCTGCTGGAGCATTTGTCTTGCTTGGTACAGACAGCACCTGGCAGCTCACCAGGATGCTGGTGCAGCTTTAGACACAGACTAATTGTGCTGTACCTAAAATGTGTAGAGCAAAAATAGAAGGAAAACTAGATAATTCTTTTTTTTAGGGATTATTTTTTGGTGTAAAGGGAAGTCTATATTTGGATCAATAGTGTCATGGAATTGAAAAGCAGGTCATTTTCTCAGCAGAGAATATGTCCTTTGGCCCTGGATAGGCTTTGGGAAGTTTTTGAGGGGATGTTAAATAATAGAGGAAATAATATAGGGAGCTTGGTTTACTATCTTGATGATGATTAGTACCAAAGCTTGGTATATATGAGTGGAGTTGTTGTTAATTTGGGGTGGTGAGGGGAGATCGTTGTCAGGAAGGAAGTCAACAGATTTCCAGACAAGTTGACAAGCTAAATTCTTGTTGACAAGATACAAACGGGCCATCCCAAACTCTGCTTGCAGTCAGACGTAGGGTGTTTGCCTGCTGCCAAGTTCCTTTGTGTTCCTGCAGCACATTTCAGCATTCACATGGATGGCTGCGTTCCCATGGGATCAGTTTGGGCTCATTAGCATCGATCCCAGTGGAAGGCACTGGCAAGGACACGTGATACCTGCCTGCTTCTCCAAGAGGGAGGGAGCCAGGTGTCCTCTCCTGGGCTGCAGCTCATGATTTTGTTTTGCAGGTCCTGACATGGTGTGCCGATGGTGGTCAGCAGCGGTGGCGATGGCAATTGGTTGGCTCCGGGGGGACGATGCAGCTGTGAGGTCACATTTTGCAGAAGTGGAACGCATGCCGAAATCCCTGGAGATGTCAGAGTGCGTAGGCCTTGTGTGCTTTCCAAACCACTGCTCCTTCTAAACAGGGATGACTCTTTCTCCTCATGCTGTCCTGTAGGATTACACCTACCTGTGCTCTGGAGCTGCAAGTCTCTTGTGCTCTGCGAGTGCCAGTGTGCTCAGCAGTTTGTGTGTAGGTCAAGGCTTGCAGACTGATATTAGAGCTGTGAACTGGAAGGATCAAAGGTGCTTCTTTAGGGATGTCTTTTGGATTTGTTCAAATTGCACAGCTCTCCCACCTTCCGAAGTCAAACCACAAAACTGACATGCTAATGGCAAGGCTGGTGTCAGCATCTGTTCTTTTGCACTACAGCATCTTTGCCAGCTTCCTCTCTTTTCTCGCATTTCTCTCTTCAGTCTTTGGAGGTGAGGAACCATTGCCATCTTTTCTGTCTAAGGAATGATGATGTCTCTGCTCTTGAAGATGGGCTGAGTGAAAGCTGATGCTGTGACAGCATGACATGGTACTGCTTGAAAGCAGCGTGCTCTTTGTCTTTCAGGAATGCCCTGGTGAAAGCCACCTTCCACGTGTGTAAAGCCATGCAGGCCTCGCTGTCTGGGAAGGCAGATGGACAGCAGAACTCCCTGGGTCACTGTGAGAGGGCCAGCAGTCACCTATGGAACAGCCTCAACATGAGCAGCAGCATCTCTAGCACAGTCCTCAGCAATGTAAGAGCTATAAGCCCTGGGATAACACATGGTCTGTTGTGGTTGTAAGATTGGTCTTGCTGTAGGTGTGCTGCTTCCCCTTTGTGTTCTCCATCCATCCATCCTGTGTATCATGGGAGTAGAGGGGAGATTTATTCTCTTTCCTTGCAAAGGGTATTGAAATTGTTCTGCTTCTGCTGTATGGGGGAGCAGAGCTGCAAGTATAGCATCATCTCCCTAGGCATGGTCTCAGCTCTCGCTCCTCTCATACCAGTAGCTGTCACCCCTTTCTGGTGCTTTGACCAGTTTAAATTTGGCCAGGATAGATGGAAAGTATCCATCTATGTCTTCCAGGTCAAGTTGCTGACACCTGTACAGCAGGACATCACTAAGCTGAGTCTTCCCTGTTTCAGGCAGCACTTACAAGTGTTTGAACCCTATTCCACAGAAGTGTGACTGCTGTGCTACTTGAGTTTGCGTGGGGCTTGTTTCTCTTCTTTCCAGGTTTACCTAAAGCCGGAGCTTCTCTTCGTGGTGGACGGGACGTGTTTCTGGTCCCCTCGGTTCTCCTGGGTGGCAGCTGTAGTGCATTGTAGTTGCATTGCATGTTGTGGCAGTGACTGTGCAATGTTTCTGCAGTGCAGTACAGAGGCACTCTCCGTTCGGCAGCATGGGCAGAGCCCTCCCAGAGCCGTGAGCGGTGCTAGGGGGCAGCAGCAGACGGGGAAAAGGGGTTTGGGCAGCTTGCCGTGGGCTGTGCCAAGACTGCCTCTTTTCTCTGCAGGTAGCAAGGCTGTCTTTGCTGTTTCCTATAGTTAGTGTTGCCATTTGGGTGGGAAAGCCTTTGGAGAAGGCTGTGTTCCCATGGGATCCATTTGGACTCGTTAGCATTGATCCCAGCAGAAGGTGCTGGCAAGGGTGTATAACATTGGCACAGTATCCCCTTGGCACATACTGTCTTGAGCGCTCAATCGAGACATGCTGCTTGGACAAACGGCAAAGTCCTGCTCCCTTTGGTGCGTTGTGGTGGGGTGAATGCGGTGGGGAGGGCTGGGGACCCCCCCAGTGAGCAGGAGGTGCTGTGGCTGCCTTCCTGTGGGCCATGTCAGCAGCCACGTAGTTTGTTCCTCGCCTAATGGTATGTGTAACTAAGTGTGTGTGCCTGGGCACCCTGGCTCTTGCAGATGATCCAGCTGCTGACCTGTGACTTGCTGCTCTCTCTCCGCACCAGCCTGTGGCAGAAGCAGGCGAATGCCAGCCAGGCGCTGGGTGAGACCTACCACGCTTCGGCCCCCGAGCTGACGGGCTTCCAGCGCGACCTCGGCAGCCTGCGCAAGCTGGCCCACAGCTTCAGACCCGCCTACCGCAAGGTGACGCCTCTCCTGCCCGCTCCGGCTTAGCTATAGCCCCCCAGGGGTTGAAGGGAAGCCACAGAAACATATAGGTGTATGGGGGCTTGAGGGGTTTGGACACCTGGGGTGGGATGCTCTGCTGCCAGCAACCTCCATCCTTTCTCTTGGTGGGTGATGAGGGAGGTTCCTGTGGGTGTTCAGTGCATGTGGGGAAGTGTCTGCTTTAAGTTCTACATAGAAAACCATCAGCACGTGTGTATTGCCAAACAAATACCATGGCATCTTGTCCCTTAAGGTGGCTTCAGACTGGGTCTGTCCCTCGGGGGAGTGTGGAAGGAGGCTTCCTCAGCTGTGTTGGCTCTGCTGAGTAGCTGGAGGGTTAGATACCTTCTGCATCTGTAGAGTCCCAGCTGCTTCTCTGGGGATTTTTCCTCTTCTGTTCAGTTTATCTACTATTAAGCCTAGTACAGGATGTATAGTCTAATACTTGAACAAGAGAGTTGTCCTAGTTTTGTCCCAACTCTGGATGCTGCTCACAGTTAGGTGTCAAATCTTTTTTTTTTTGTTTGGGTTTTGTTGTTTTCTTGGTGTGTTGTGTTTTTTTTTTTTTTGTTCCTCCCCTCCTCACGGTTTCCCTGACCTGCAAATTCCCCAGAGACAGGTGTAAACATGAGGGAGGAGTGTGGAAGTGGGTCTCTGTTGTTGTCAAGGTGTCAGTGCTCTGCTCTCAAAATGCAGTGGCTGAGGAATGACACACGTTCAGCCACAGCATTGTCCTCACCTCTCATCCTCCATCCTGCCTTCCCTTCCAGGTCTTTCTCCACGAGGCCACCGTGCGACTGATGGCAGGTGCCAGCCCTACCCGCACCCACCAGCTGCTGGAGCACAGCCTGAGGCGACGCACGCCCCAGAGCAGCAAGCAAGGTCAGCCCTGGGGCTTGGGCACCAACCCACTGCCTGTGGGGCTGGGAGAGGGCAGCACTTGGGCAAGGTGTGGGGGCATAGGTGCAAGCTGCAGTGTCTTCTCCTGTGTCAGGATAATGAGCTCCCATCAGCCTGTGGCTCAGGGCAATGCTTCTGCCACGCTCTCTACACGCTGACTAACGTGAGCTGCCAGCCCTGGGCTGGAGGTGTCGGTGAACAGACTGGAAAACATTTGCCTTTGTGCAGCTCAGACTGTTCTACTTTGCTAGCCTAAAGGAGCTCCTTGGGGGTCCTCAGGGTGGCCCTCACTCTTGGCTTAGCCGGGGGTTACTAGCCAGAGATGCCTGTGCTCACTGGTACCAGTTGAGGACCTGCATGGTGGGGTTTTTGTCATGCTGGTGGTAGCTCTGTTGTGAGCTTTCTCTCTTTCCTGTTTGCATGTAGGTGAACTGGACACATTGCCGGGCCAGAGGGAGAGAGCCACGGCCATCCTGTTGGCCTGCCGCCATCTCCCCCTCTCCTTCCTCTCCTCCCCGGGCCAGCGAGCTGTCCTGCTGGCTGAGGCCGCCCGCACCCTGGAGAAAGTGGGGGACAAGCGCTCCTGCAATGACTGCCAGCAGATGATTGTCAAGCTGAGTGGGGGCACAGCCATTGCTGCCTCCTAATGCTGTCATGGGGCCGCCTTGTACAAAGACAGCCTGGTTGACCATCAGCCTGGACTTCCCTTCTGGAGCTTAAAAAAAGTACTAGGTTAGGGCTGTGCTGGTGGGATCGTGATGGGGTGGGAGGGAGGGTTTTGGTTTTGTTTTATTTTTTTTCTAAACTTGCCCCAGGTTTAGCTTTATTAGCTTCCTTTCTTGTTCTCAGGCACTGCAGCAGGAATCTGTCTAGTTGTGGTTTTTGTCACCTTGCCTGGGGCTGTTGGGAAGCTCTGTCCTGACACTGATTCCCCATTCCTGGTTTGGGGAGAAGCTCACAAGCCCAAGGCATAGAGAAGTGACAACATTCTATGTCTGTCCTCAGGGGTATTTTGTTCCTTTCCCAAACACCTCTGCAGAAAGAAGTCTTTGGGGAGGGCAGAGGATCTGCTCAAGCCTTGTCCCAAAGGGCTGCAGGGGCTTGAGGATGTTCCCAAAAGAGAGGGGAAGGCACTAACTTTCCTTGAGTTGTGTGTCAGGAAACTGAAACCCCTATACCCAACTTACCTAGGTGCTCTGGGAGTATCACTCGGGGCCAGTACTGCCCAACAAATTTCTCTACAGTTTTTATACAGGTTTTTTTATAAGAGTGTTTGTGGCTTTACGAAAACATAGGGAACAATGCAGCAGATTTCCCTTCCTCTGTGCTTCATGAGTCTTTTCCTATGATAGCTGCCTCCAGTTTTTGGCAGGGGTTGGGTTTGTAGCAGCCTACAAGAAGCAGAAAGTCTGGTAGAAAACCTTGGCATCCCTGGTCCTGTGATGCTGGGTGGCAGCAGAGGTGGACGTGCTGTGCCCTGCATTGGCGTGAAGGGTGAATGCTTCTCTGGTGCCTTTTCGTTGATGCAGAAACAATTTATAGAAAGAGCTTTTTATTTTACTCAACTCCCAGTCCCAGAATTTGTTTTCAGGTGTTTGTCCTTACCTTTTCCAACTGCTCAGCAGTTCCTGCAGAATCTGGGAAGCACTGGTTCAGGGTGCAAGTCTCCCAGCTTTGTTGCTATTTCTATTCTGAGCAGTTTGACTTGCAGGTGTTGAATTGCCTGTGACTTTCCAAGAGGGGGAGGCGGATTTGGGACAGGGAGGGAACGGTTTGCCCTCTTTCTCTTGCCTTTCCTGTTGCATCTCTCCAAAGAAGTGCAAAGCGGTTGCCCTCTCACACGTGCAAGTGTGAAAACCAGCGTTTGACAAGCGGGCATTGCTGTTTCTCCCTGTGTTATGGTCAGTGTGTTCTCCATGTTAGCAGCTAGAAACATACACAGCAGTCCAAACCCATCCTGTCCCAATCAGGCCTGTACTGCCCAACTCCTGCAAAATCAGAACTTGTACTGTTTTATAAGAAGCTTTTACATGTATCCACCTTTTGCAGAGGGGTGTGAGAGCTTGAGCTCCTTAAAATGAGAGGAAAAAGATAGGGGCTTCTGGTCTCACTTTGGACAGGGTCTTTTGGCATCTGTGAGGGGCATTTCACGTGCTACGGGAATTGAGCATAGGTAATGCTAGTTGTGGAGTTGCCTGGCTTCACAAAGATGGAGACCGGGGCCGGGAGAAACCTGTCTCCCAGCAAAGCCTGTTCCCAGTGATCATGGTCTGTAGCTGCAGACAAAAGTGCAGGGACCAGAAGATATTTCCCTCCCTCCCTCACATTATGTGGGGAATAGCTGGTAGACACCCAGCTGCAATGGCCGGGAGCTTCTTGTCCTACTGGCAGGCAGGGGGTCCCTTGCTTCCCAGGGTTGGTGGTTGGAGGGGAGCTCATTGAGGGGAAGAGGTTGCTCTCAAGAGTGTCTTTGATCAGTGTAGAGGATGCTCTGGTGGCAGCAACTTCGGCTTTGAGCAGGTATCCTAGGTGTGCAGAAGAGCTCTTGGGTTCATACACATTTTAATTGCCCATTCCCAAGTTTCCTGGCTTATCAGTGATTCTATTTTGGGAGGTGGATTGCCTCCTCCTGATTTTTGTCCTCTTCAGTGGCTCTCATGCTGTCTTCCTAGTCATGTTTTTTCCCTGAAATGCAGAAGCTCCGTGCCTGTGGCAACCTCTGAGTTATTTTACATTTCTCTGGGTCTGCATGCAACATGTGGGAAGTTTTGTGCTTTAGTAAAATGGGAAGCAAGGCCTTGGGAAAGCAGTGATGCTGAGGTGCCACTTGGTCGCTAACAGTGGTCTGAGCCCTGGGGGCTGGGCTGCAGGGAGTACTGGCTGGGCTGGTAGCTGGGAGACTGCTGGGCTGAAACCCCAAGGAGGGTCCTAGCATGGCTGATACTTTTCTGCCCCCCTCAAGAGTGATGATGGATCTTTGCCCTGTTTTTTCTACACTGTTTATAAATTCGCTGCCCATCTCTCCCTACGACTTTTTTTACATGTGTATGTATATACTGTAACTTTTTTGTTTGTGGGTGGGAGGAAATTGTTTTATGGATTATGTGAAGAAAGTCTATTTATCCACATGGAGTTCAGAGTAGGGATGCTTTGTGATACAAGATGCAACTGGTGGTGGGGAAGTTCCCCAGGGAACATATCTGCTGTCTGAAAACCCTGTTCCAGGGCTCCTGAGCATCTGTTACCTAATAAAGATGAACGTTACCACCACCTCCCACCTGCCCTCTTTCTCTTAGCCCTTTTCATCCCACCCAGCAGCTGCTCTTAAGCAGAGGTAAGCTTGAAATGTCCTTTAGAGACGTAAAACCTTGGAGGCGCCTTGGGAAGCTGTAAGTCCTTTGTCTGGATAACCTGAAGAACAGAACTGTACAGCTTGCAACAAAAGATGGTCCCTTGGTGGAGCAAGTGTGGTTGGTGTCCCCGTGCTCCTTTGGAAGCAACTCAAGAGGCTGATAGCTTGAGCAAAGCCAAGCAAGGTAAAGCTACGCCAGAAACCCACAATTTTAGGAGCATCTCTATGGGACAAAAGCTGTTAGCTGACCTTGGTTTAGAATAATGTCCTTTCACTCCATCTCTGTTTCTCTGCTCCCCCTGGTAAAACTCTGTCAGAACCATTAAACTTCAGACAGAGGAGATCTCATTTTTGTGTAGCTGCTCGAAGGGTTTTGCAGTTGGGCTTGGAAGCTGTGTTCCCACCATGTCCCCCATCGTGGGGGGGTTCCCCAGGCCCTGTGGGAGTGGACTTTGCACTCTGCTGCCCTGGGGGGAAGGTGTTGGGGGTTTGGGAGCAATGTGGAATTCCCCAGTCAATCCATACCAAGGCCATGGTTTAATGTATTATTTATTGACAAGGTGGAGATGGGGGCAGTGGGAAAGGGGAGGCTGGGGAGAGAAAGGGGCTGCTCGGGCTTTACTGGCAGCACCGGGCTGGTGCTTTGAGTCCATTGTTCTTCCCCACCACCTGCTCACAGGAGCTATGTTGAGGGTGCCTGGCCACAGCAGGATGTGTTCCCAGTCTGTCCAGCATCGTCCCCTGTCCTTTGCGCAGGGTACTGCTGTGCCAGTGTGCCCTCAGCTCAGCCTCTTCATGGGGTGGGCTGAGAATGGCTGAAACTTGTTGCCCAGATGAGAGCCCAATGCCTCCCCGATGGTGAAGTGCAGCTGGCAGTTCCCATCCCTGGAGGGTAGGAAGGACGGCGCGTCTCCCCCTCTGGCCAGCCGTCGCAGTTTGCGTAGGTCCTACGATGCCTTGCTCTGGTGGGCTGCCCCTGAGGGCAGCAACACCCTGGTGAGGGGGCAGCCCCAGCCCCTGGTAGTGCTGGTCGTCAGACAGTGACTTCAGTCTTGCTGTTGGTGGCGAGGTGCCGGGTGTGCTGGCCGTACAGGGGGGTGGAGGGGCCGAAGGTCTCAGGTGGCCCCTCGGGGCGCAGGGTGGCCAGGCCTGGCCGGTGGGGGCCGCGATGGGGGGCCCCCTCCCAGCCCCCCGGGAAGGCCAGGCTCCCTGGCAGCTTGGGGCCCTTGGCCTTGGGCAGGGGGCAGCCCTTGGACAGCACTGGTGTCTCGGTGGGTGTGAAGGGCAGTGTGCTGGCAGGGGGTGTCTCCAGCCCCCCGAATCGCCTGTAGAAGTCCTCGGAGGCGCTCTCTGTGGGGACAGAGGTGCGGTGTCACCCCTGCAGGGACACCCACTTCTGCTGGTTTGGGGGGACCAGGGAGGGTGCACTGGTGGGGAAGGCTGGGATGGGACTGTGGGAGGGATCCTGGGTACTGATTAGCCAGGGAGGGGGGATCTTGTCAATGAACTGGCTGGGGAGTGCAGTGTGTCCATGCAGATCCTGAGGTCTGATGGGGTGGGCAGTGCTTCAGGTCTGTGCGGGATTCTGGGTACTGACTGGCTGGGAAGTGCACTGGATCCATGGGGGACCTCGGACACCAACTGACTGGGCAGCACAGCAGGCTGGTGGAACAGTGGAGGAGCCAAAGAGTTTCTGCTATGAGCAACCATCCCGGGAGCCCTGGGAAACTGGGATGCTTGTCCTGTCCATGCTCCTCTGGGAGCCCCATGCCCCTCCCCACTCGTCTTGCTGGGTCCCCCCGCCACTCTCCCATCCCACACGGCAGCGGCACTCACCTCCAACCTTGAGGGTGGTGTAGGAAGTGTAGTCTGAGGCTGACAGGGCCAGGCTGCTGGCCAGTGGCAGGCGCTTGCCGTGGCTGTGGGGCCGCCCCAGTGAGGGAGCAATGGCCACCGCGTTGTTCAAGGGTGGCTTGTCTGGAGGGGCAGAGGGAGGTGGGGGCTCAGCCTCAGGCTGTGCCCTCCCGCTGCCTTTATCCACCCAAGGGAACTTACTTTTCCCCATCACACCAGCACCTTACCTGTGCTGTTTCGGGGGGGGCCCCGGGCCAGCCCCTCGCCCAGTGGGACCTGCACACCCCCCATGAGACTGTCCATGTTCTCAGAGGGGCTCTGGCCTGGCTGCTTCAGCAGATCTGTCAGTGTCCTGGGAAAGGGATGAAAGGGCTGTTAGGGCAATATCCTGTTCTCCTGGGCTCCCTAATGCATCCCAACCCTAAACCGTGCTCTTTGGAGGCAGAGCTGGGCAGCCTGGGGCTAGGAAATGGCTGCTGAGAGCCAGGATGCATGCAGGCTCCTAACCCAGCTTCTGCAGGTGGGCTAGTGAGCCCCACCTGAACAAGTAATTGGGATCAGGTTGGGGCTGAGCCCTCCAGAGCCAGGGTTATCAGTGGGTGAGGGTGGTGAGGGAGATGCATGGTTTGGAGCGGGGTTCAAGGGTATGATGCACTGAGGCAGAGGAACTTGATATGATGGCAGCTGGAACAACACCTGGGGGCTGCTCCTCTTGAGTGAGAGCCTGGTGTAGGTGGGGAGAGGAGGCAACACCTCCGCTCGAGTGCCTTTGAAACAGAGAAGACCCTGAGGAAGGGATTAGAGAGGCCACTTGCACCCCTTCGGGGAAGGGGATGAACTTGTGGCAGCCTCTGGCGCAGGCGCTGTCTGTGCATAACGCCCTCCTTGTAAGTAACAGCATTAAACATTAAACACCATTACATAAGATAGAGCCCTATTTCGTTTAACATTCATGGACAGAGATGCTGCAGTCCCACCGCGGTGCGCCGGCAGTGCGAGAGCGAGGCATGCTGGCCGTGGCAGAGTGGGGTATAGCAATGGTGCCAGAGTGGGGCACACCAGTGATTCCAGAGCAAGATACACCAGCAGGGACAGAGGGAGCACAGGAGCAGGGCATACCCACCTGCCGCTGCAGCCTTTGGCAGCAAGTCCAAGGACAGGTTGGGATGCTCCTGCTGGTGTGGGACTTTGTAATGAGAAGACGTGCCATTGCCCCTGCCACGACCATCCCTGGGTGACTGCAAGAGTGGAGGGGTGTCCACTCGGGGCTTTTTTTGGCTCCCTAATCCCCAGCTCACTGTCAGCGTGCCTCGCGCCTTGAAGGCTCTGGCTGGCTCATAGACGCACACTGGGAGCTGTGGCAGGAGCTGACGGTTAGCAAGTGGTTGGATGATAAAACAGCAGATTAAACTCAACATGCATAAATGCAAATGGGAGAGGAAGCAGGGAATAATCCTGACTTGGTAGACGTGTCAGCTCATGGCACCAGAGTGCTCAAAAACCTAGCGAATGTGGTACAGGGAATTGCCAGGAAAGACAGTTAGAACAAGGGGAAAACAATGTATTGTGCCCAGGGGTGTGTATGCTTGTGGGGCCCCCCATTTTTCCTCCCAGTTTGGCTCCAGTCAATATCACAGGGCGATGGCAAGAACAAAGCTACAAGGGAAGGTCGCTTGCCCTTTGGGTGAATTTCACATCATTCTTGGGAAGCTTTGGGTAGCAACCCCTCTGGGATCACCTAATCTCCAAATGGCCCAAGAGGACAGTCATGGAGCTGAACAAATTGAATGAGGAAGGAACAAACCCTGGCAGCTGACAGCTGGAAGGCAGCTTGGTGGAAAAGGATCTGGGGATCCTGGTGGACACGAAGTTGACTATGAGCTTGCAGTGTGCCCTTGGGACAAAATCGCTGAATGGTCTCCTGGGCTGCATAAGGCAAAGTGTTGCCAGTAGGCCTGAGGAAGTTGATCCTTCCTCTCTGCTCAGCACTGGTGAGGCCACACCTGGAGTGCTGGCTCCAGCTCTGGGCTCCTAAGTACGGGATAGACATGGACATATGGGAGAGAGTGCAGGGAAGGGCCACAGAGATCTGGAGGGACTGGGAGCCACAGGGACTGGAGCATCTTTTATATGAAAGGCTGAGAGAACTGGGACTGTTCAGCCCGGAGAAGAGAAGCCTCTGGGGGATCTTATCAATGTAGGTGAGTATCTGAAGGGAGGGTGCAACAAGGACAGTGCCAGGCTGACAAGAAGTGACAGGGGCAATAGAAACACAGGAAATACTGTTTAAACAGAAGAAACAATCTTTTCTCCTGCAAGAGTGGTTAAGCGCTTGACCAGGCTGCCCGGGGAGGCTGTGCCACCTCCATCCTGCAGCTATTCAAATCCTGCACCTCCCCAGGACCCCTCTTGAAGTGGACTGACCCAACTAGGGTCAAGGCCAGGCACAGAGAAACCCTGGGCACATGCCTGGGTGGGCAGTGGGCTCTGTCCAGGAAGGGCAGGGGGGAGGCAGGTCCCCCAAGGCCATGGGTGTAGGCTGTCAACACAGGGAGCTGCCGCCCTGTCAGCTCCCACCTTCCCCGGGGTGCACTGCTCGCTGGCCCCCTCCCCACTGGACACTGCCTGCTCTTGCCTGTCCCCAGGGCCAGCGTTCAAACAGGATTGTTTCAACAGGAAGTTCAATGCGATTTGACCTATTTTTTAAATAATTTTTTCTTTTCCTCGGGTCTATTTATGAAGCTTGAGTAATCCTTTATCTCTGACTTCCTCTCCAGATAAATCTGTCAATGCTCTTTCCCATAAACCTGCCCTCAATGCTGACCACCCAGGGCCTGCGGATGATAACAATTAACAACAGCATGAGCAGCTCTTAATGAGCTACTCTGCCATGGTGAGAAATGTATCATGAGCCCTCAGTACCAGCAACACTCGGATTCACCCCGCCCTTGCACCACAAGTGGTGCCATAGGCTATGGGTGCCAGTAGGTCTCTCTGGGGCTGCACCCCCTCCCTGGCCCGTCCCCAGGTGTTGCAGTGCAGGGGAGGTGGACATAGAGAGTGA